GCCATAAAAGAAAGTGGAAGATCCCACAGTTGAAGGGAGTCAGCTCTTCCTAAATTAGGACTTGAAGGCATGTAGCTCTCCTGGCAGCACAAACAACTTCTTAAACAGAATATACTGATCATCATCACATAGGCTAACATGACTATGACAACTGCACAGAAGGATTAATTAACTTACTTGTTTTAGAAAGAGTGAATTTCTAAAAACTGGGGCAAAACTTAAGGTATGAAGCATCTCTCCATATTAAGCACTCCCAGAGGGAAAAGTCGTATTTATACAGAAGCAAACACAGGAAGAGTTTCTGTTGGACTTACAGTACCTGTTACTTCCCAAGGAAGAATTTAGTAAGTTAAATTAGTTAATTACAAAATGTTAATATTTGAAAACGTTAGTATTTTAGAGGGTTTACCTGTATTTCCAGATTTTGCGAATAACCTGCAGGGCATTCAGGTTGGACTTTTTTTTTTTTTTTTTTTTTTTTAATTTGATTAAATACATGCTTTGTTCATCCTGGGCATTCAGTTCATTGAATCTTATTTATGGCATAGCAAGAGCAACTCATACTGCCATGTCCTCTCCAGATGTCTTCTCTCTCCAGTAAGCCGACCATCGCACTGCAGAAATCTTTTTCTCCTAGATTTTCCTTTCTTCATCCCCATCAGAGCTCTCTACACCCTTGGATCATGAGACCTCCGAATCTGTACTTCATTAATGGACAGCAACAAACAATGTATGTGTTGATGGTTCTTCATGCCATGCTGAATTTTTAGTATGCATCCATTTTTAATTCCCACACAGACAAGAATAATCTCACATCTATATATAAACCCCAACATTAATTCAAGTTAAAAATACTGAATATTTCCCCAGAAGACATTCTCTGAATTAGTCTGGACTCCTAATGTTGATGGCAAGCATGCGACAAAGGGCTGAACATGTTTTACAGCCCACCTGATTAGTCAAATCTAGCAGCTGTCAAATGGCTCACTGAACAACACAGGGAAAAACCGGAATCGTATGCTACTTAACAGTCTTATCGCCACAGCATTTATTCCACACCTTTTTTTTTTTTCCCTTTGGACATGTGAATCCAGACAGGCTGCGCAATGAGAAGCTGTAGTTTGTGAAGAGACATATCCATGAGATCCACTGAATTTCAGATAACCAGAAAAAGCCATTTTAGTCTAGCACACACACTAAGACTTTAATAGCTTATTTATTTTTTTTTTTTAAACATACATGGAATGCCTAACAGGCAATGACTTAAGAAAGCTGTGTAAATACTGTTTTTCAGTAAAGTTCTTCTATAAGGGAACTCATTTTCCTATACATGTATAAGAATACACATTTTCTGCCTTTTCTAAATGGCTGATAGGAGCATTTACATAGAAAATCTTTTACTTGGGAACTCATTTTTATCTTTCATTGTGAAGGAAAACGCAGAATTTTATCTAATGAGGCAACTGCATACCATTCTGCAAATGGTGAGTACACTTTAAAAGCAACTGGAAAATCCATCCAGCTAAGGGCCACAATGAGGATTTTCACTGTTATATATGGCACTGTCATGAATAGCTTAATTAATTTTGAGTTTCTCCATTTATATCCCAAACATTTATTGCATGGAACTGTTCTAAAATACATTGCTATCTAACGCTCAGGTATTACACTAGCACTGAATTATAATTAGTAACACCATTGAAGAAGCTGAACTTGCTGCTTGTGTGCTGGTACACTTCTGCCGCAAGCCAATACTAAAAAATATTTTTCTTTAATAGGACAAAAGGCTTCAGGCCCCTCACAATTTCTTGTGTATTAATATCAAATCACAGCTTGGCTGGGCTTTGTAATCAACCTTGAAGCAGATCCCTTAGCACTTTCTGTTGTCTTGCAGAAGGGACGCTTACAGTCACCAGGTTCACTGAAGCAGAAGTAATTCTAAGAGGGCTTCTGTGGGACTGATTTCTTTCCTATGAGGCAACCCAGAAAAGAACCCACGGTCCAGATCAGTGGATGAAAAGAAAAAGGATCTAAACAGACAAGAAATTGCACCAGAACCACGCTGGGAAAAGAAAAAGCCGAGGAAACACAAAAATTATGTGTCTTAAAGTAAATAACGCCAATTCAATCAAGCACAGAACACGAGTTATCATAAAGATTTTAGGGGTCAGAAGCTAGTATGCTTTAAGAATTAAAGTAAAGTTGGAAAATGCTCTTGAGATACAAAAACATGTGAAATCAAGCTTGCTAATTGAGCCAGCAGTCAGAAAGCTAATTGTTTTACTTGCAAATGAAATATACTTAACTTGTTTTCTGTCACTCTATTAAGTTGCTTTTTATTTTAACCACCACTTAAACACAACTCACTACACACTCCGGTAATACTAAGAATATATTTAGCTGTTGTTTTCCAGGGAAGCATCCTGAGTTCTTAATATCATTCCATATTGATAATTATTCCTTCGTTATGTGATACATAGCAGTAAGCACTTCATGTACTGCAATATTAGCCAATCATAGAGATGTCGCATTTACAGTGAAATCTGCTGAGCAGAGCCACCTGTGGGACTGATATTGTTATAAAGAATGAAGAGCTTCCAAAGCTATAAATATACCAAAATAAGGCTAATTGAGATACTTAAAAACTGAAGCATTTACAAAACAAACAAAGAAAAATGGTTCCTTTTGTGCAAGCTTTGTATTAGAATGTTCAGGCCCCAAATCATTTTGAATCATCTGTAACAGTGCCTTTTTATGTTAGGGGTGTAAGAACTGGCATTTTTATACTGCAGATTTTTTTCTTTGGCCAACTAACATGCATTCTGAACCAGTATAGACAGTCACAAATGTGACTACTTTCTGCAAAATTAATATTTCTAAGAAATACTGTTTTTATTCAATTGATATCTGAATTAAAAGAACAACCAAAACAACCAAAACAAACCTAGCTCACAGGATTAAACAGGTAGATCACCCTTCAGAAATATTATAGGCATATTACTGCCTGCTTTCTAAACTGTCTCAAAGTGTGGGTGCACTAGATTTCACCAAACACTGGTAACTTAAGGACTTTTCTGAAGAAAACAAAACACATTTTCTCCCTATTCCTTTGCAGAAATGAATAATTTCTATTAAATCCACTGTCACGAAAGATGAGCATGGGGGCTCATCTGCAACGAAGGACAGCTGCAAACACAGCTTTATTCCTACAGCTCAGTTGTAGGCCAAGATACTGTATGCTCTAGAAGGTTTAACAGAAGAGAATAAAGAGACCACTGCTTCTTTGTAGCTGTTCTGTTGTGCTGGCTATGCACTAGCATGTAAGTCCCTCCAACAGAGCTAGAACTCCCATCTGCTTTAGTGGCTAAGTTTATTTAAACTGCTTGGCATAGCCTGTGGTGGCATGGATGGTGTTCTGTAGTGAGGGAGAAGGTGTGGATGAACAGCGGAGCATCTTGAGTAAGAGACATTCATAAATCGTCATACGCTACCTGCTCTGACCACTAAAACCTTGCAGAAGCCCAATAGCATGGCTGAGTTACTCCGGTTTCTTTTCATCAGCGGAGCTTCACTGAGGATCTCAGTCTCATGACTCTCCCCTCATGAGCACTTAAAGCATAAAGAGATGCAAGCACTTTTCTGCTCACCTCTGGTTATCCAGCTAACAACTGTTTTTAGCCAGGACACTCAGTCAAGTCCCTGAGCAGTTTACAAGCAGACTCTTTAGCAGAGACCTGGAGAACATTTCCATGAAAGTGAACCCTGAGAGCTACGCCATCATTTTTGTCAGCTCAGGTACACTTCTGCACTAGAGTTTTCATGACCTCAAGAATGACATTCAGGTTACATGTTTATTTTTTTTTTTCCAGTTCTCCTGCCAACAGAGCTATCCTGGAAAAACAAAACAAAACAAAACCACAACTGTGTGTGGACCCAGCATGAAGCAAGCATTTGGATGGAAAATTTCAGCTGATGTTTGACAGCCATAAGCATCTGTAAACACAGCCTTAACACTGGGAAATGTCAGGCACCTCCTCAGCAGTGCTACCACCTCTGTATTTACTTTAAATAAAACGAACATGCATGTCAATGAGCTCTTGTCACATCCACACAAAATATGTAACACTTGACAATTTTTTCTCAGGGAAGCACAGGTTCAGCGTTTCTCGGACACGCAGGGAGGAGACCTGCATGGCAACTCACACCTTCGTTACCCTGCCAGATCAGCTCTTTGCTCTGGTTCCCAGCTCACGATGAGAAAACAGAACCAAAAACAAATAAATAAATAAATCCCAAACCCTTCCTAAGCTTGCTTCCCATACAGGAAAGTCGCTCGTGAGCAATAGCTGAAAGAAAACCACCCCGCTCACTTCAGCGTTTGTAGCGGAACAACTTTCTCACTCCTTAACTCCCCGTTTCTTCCGCCCGCGACACGGCACGGGACCGCTTCCCGCGCTTCCCACAGCGAGCTGCTGCCCGGCGAGCGGCCGCCCGGCACGCCGTCCTGAGGCGCGCGGCTCCCCAGCCGGAGGGGGCGGCCGGGGCCGGCTGCGGCGCTGACAGAGCGTGATCCCCCCGAGCAAGTGCGCGGCGCTGGCTCTCCCTCTCCGCCAGCCTCCGGTTACATCTCTGGCAGGAGACCGCGATTCTCGGCGTTGCTTTCCAGGGTTATTTTTGGCCGTGGCCGCCGCACGCTGACGGCACGGCTCTGGCAAGCCCCGCGCGTCCCTGCGCGCTGCGCGGCGCCGGCGGACCTCCGCCGGGCGGGGAAGGGGCGGCGCGACCCCGCGCCCTCCCCCGCTCCCCCGCTGCACCCTTCTCCCGCCGCCCCCGGGCCTCCGAGGGGCGAGCCGGCCCGCCTCCATCCCACGAGGGCCGACCGTCGGGGGAGCCCGATCTCGCGCCGCCGGGGCGGACGGAACCGCCTCTCTTCGCCCCGCCGCCGGCCGGGAGCCCGTGTGAGGCCGCCGCTCCGCAGCGGAGTCGCGGCCGGCCGGGCGGCACCGAGCGTCGCTATGGAGAGGAACCCCATCCCGGTGCTGACGGTGCAGACGACGCCCTACGAGGACCAGCGGCCGACGGGCGGCGGGGGGCTGCGGCGGCCCACGGGCCTCTTCGAGAGCCAGCGCAACTACCTGCCCAACTTCGTGCAGAGCCTGCTCTCCTCCGTCGACCTCCGCGACCGCCAGGGCTGCACCATGGTGGTGGGCAGCGACGGCCGCTACTTCAGCAAGACGGCCATCGAGATCGTCGTCCAAATGGCCGCGGCCAACGGGGTAAGCCCGGGGCTCCCGGCTCCGCCGGTGCTCTGTGCCGTCGGTCAGGCTGCTCCGCCAGCTTTGGGCGAGGCTGGCGATGCGTGCGTGTAAGCCGGATGCTTCTGGCAGCCCCGGGTACTGCGGGCCGACCGTGGTGCTGCACAGCTCGTTTGGGACCGAGTCAGGAGTGGAAGCTGAAAAACCACACCTGACTCTGCAGAGAAGGTTTATCAGAGTCAAACATAAGCGCGTGGAAAGCGAGGGCATTAGATGTGTGCTTGGTGCTTACTGTCTTTTAGGGATGCTCAAGGAAAACGATGTAAAGGAAGAGGAATTCAGCAGTTTGGCTGCATCTTAAGAAAATGAGTGTTCCCTGTTCATTTAGTGAATGAGATAATGGTGACAACCCATCCAGTCAGATGGGTTACAGCGTATTTTGCTCAAATTTGAAAATGTCAAAAATCTCAAGAGGGGAATCATGTTTTCTGATAGAAGTGTGCAAACACCTTTGTCTGTTTGTACATGCAGAAAGCTGGGAAGTACAAGCCAGCATGGACTTGAAGTCTCTTCTCCAAAGCAGAGTTGAAGCTGCTGTCTCTCCTGACTGCTGAATCGACCCTCCAGTGAGCGCACACAGCATGGAGCAGTGGCAGGCCACTGCTCATAGCTGGGAACTGCAAGTTCCACAGGACTACTTTGCGTCAGCTCCTCTCACTGCTAGCTCTGCAAGGGAAGCTCTGTCACTGTAGGGTGGGCAGGAGAAAGCACAGCAAGGGCTGTTCTGCCCAGCCTGCAGTCGCCCACTGCTCTTGTATGCACGGAGTGAGTTGCAGTTGCAAGGTGACCGCAAGGACTGAGATCTGAGGGAGGCTAGAAATGTAGGGCTTAGAAGGCTGAGGAGTTCTCAGCTGGGCTGAGCTGCAGTCAGGACTCTGTCCTGGCAAATGTTGCTGTCAGCTTGCTTCCTTCCAGCATCCCATGTCACATTTCCCATTTTCTTCTGCTCCCCCTGCAGATTAGGTTTTTTTTACCTCAGGAGGTTTCCAGTTTAGCGTATTTCTGGCACTTTGCTCTAACTGGGCTTCCCTTTCCTTAAGTTATTGCAGCTTTCTTGGAAGCACAGTTTCTCCTTACTGTTTTCTGAAGCCAAGAAACAGGAGTGTCTGCTGGCAGTTCCCACAGATTCCTGAGTTCAAGTGCCATACTCTGTCTGGGGACACAGTCCTGACAAATTCAAGAGGGTGGTGGTTGGGGGTGACATTGATCCTGCTCCCATGTGCTCTGGCCCGCCGGCTGCTTCTCTGTATCTCTGCAACACACTGTAAGTGCATAAGCCTCACTTTTTTTTGCCTCCAAAGAATACTCATTACATGTATTATTCTTTGATTGCTAATATATGACAGCTGAGAAATTATCTAAGCCTCCCCAAAGGCACTGCTTAGTCCTGTGCTGTATGGTTCAGGTGAAGAGCATGAATACTGCTAAGGGCAAATACCTCTCCCTTTGGCCAAGGCAAATATCTCTACAAGGAGCCTGGCCAGCATCAAAAGGAAAAAAAAAAAAAAGCAAGCTGGCAAATGGCGGGTGAGATGAAACGTGTAGGAGCTTGAAGCTGCCCTGAAAACGTTTAGTCTCAGTGGAGTTCCAGGAGAGAGACGGCCAAGTAGTGCTGACAAATTGAGCTAAAGTCTCCTTCCAGGAAGACACATACTGAGTTCTTTGGTTAATTGTGCCTGCTGAGTATAAAAATAAAGGGGATTTTCTGTTATCAACTGTAAACGTATTGCCCTTTAGAGTCGCTAGGTTCCCCTTGTTCTAATTTGGTGACTCACCCTGCATTCTCCGTGCCTTAGCAGCCTAGCACAGTTGGCACAGGCCCTCGGAGAAGGAATTAGCCGAGGCCCCCTGCCTAGTCAGCTGCTGCTGCTTGCCCTGCCTTCCTGTCATCATTGAGCCCTCCGCTCACCCTATGGGCTGGGACTGCAGGTACACCATGGCTGCAGCTTCTAGGCTTCCAGTGCTGGCACTGGCTATGGGTGCTATGCAGTGGCCATCAGCACATGATTCATCATGTCTTTCTGTTTGGAGAGATACTGTAGGTTAGCTGGAAGCAGCTAACTAGTGGTCATTCTTTGAAAGACCGCACGAATCGGATTGAGGCAAACACATTTTGGTAAGAGGCTGCATGTCATGGGAGTGCAAGGTCCTGTCTCATTCCAGCTTGCAACAGGCATTTCTCAGAAGTGAGATGTTAGGAGAATATCTGAAGCTGCATCTCCATTTCATCTGCCACTTGTCAGCAGTTTTTGCTTCTTAATGCCAGGAAGAACTGAGGTAAAAGGATCCATCGTGTGTGACAAAGTCTCACTACAAATTAAATGCAAGTATTCCATTAGAGCCATCAGCTGGGTGTGGTGCTTTATTTTTGAGGCAAAGTTCAGAATAAGTTTAAACTAAAAATTCTGGATCTGATCAGAAACGGATGAGTTGCTGATTGTACTTGGCCTATGGAGATTCATAGCAACATTGTGGAGGTCGTGAAGTATTGCTAATAATGCTGTAAAAGTTTGAGATGGCAAAGAATTTTTCAGCTTTTTTAGCAATACCATGTTTTTTTTTGTTTCCCATGGGAATCGTATCTTTCCTCCTTACACCTGTATGGCTGACTTATTTGCTTCTATGTTAGGCATGACACTAAGTCATCATTAGGATCCTACAGTGAAAGAAGATATATCCCTATGCTGTTATAATCCACTTGCAGGGTATAATCCACTTGCTTTGTGTTATTTCAGGTTCAATTGACTGAGGCATGTGAGAGAAAAATTACTGGGAAGATCAATTTAAAAATGTTAAGTGACTCCATTGTATTTTCTGAAAATACACAGCTGCATGCAGTAATACTGCATAAAAATGTTTCTGTAAAATACTTGTTAGGGTGACTGTACCCTCAGAGTTTGCTGAGGAACATGGTCTCTTTTGCTGCTGCTGCTGCTAAAAGCGGAACAACAACATAGGATGCGGCGTGAGTGACAAAATAGGACGTGGCGCTGGGCACGGTATTAAAAGAGACAGTTACAAGCCTGTGATTTCGTAGCCATGCAAGTTTTTGAATTCCAGAAATAATCTTTCCAAGCTATGAAACTGTCCAAGATTTTCAGAAGGATAATACTGGAACTTTAATTGTGAGTGAGTACGTGGACACCATCTGGTTGCTGGTTTAGCCCAGAGAAGTCTGTAAATCTGAGAGTTCATTTCTTAAAATTAATTAGATATCAGTTTAATACTTGATTCAGAGACATAATGAACAGCAGCTGGACTGAGAGTGGATGGGATTGCATTCCTGCCATCAAAACAAAGAGAGAAAGATGGTTACATTTCTAAGGAGTGCCGGAATTTAGAGTTTAGAATAGAAGCACTGAAGAGCTATATGTAAAATGAAGCTCTTTGCAGTAGTCACTGTGAACAAAATAGAGTATCGTAAGACATAATTTCACTTTCTTATTTAATTTAGAATACAAAACATTATAGCGTTTTTACAGGGTAGGAATTAGTTCAAACAATTCTTACACTGTTTCTGCACTAATTCTAATTAGTGTAGGAATAACCACCTGAACAAATAACCTGTCACAAATACTGAAAGCAACGCAAAATAGTCCTATTCGTATAAGTGCTGGCGTCCAGGAAAATGGGAGAACTGCTTTGTGTTGAGCAGGAGAAAAGTGAAGTGCAGTAAAAAGACAGTGCCAGATAATTTGCGCATTGTGAATAATCTGTGTTTTGGCTACTTCAGAACAGTGATTTCTGTGCGCTTACAAAAAAACCTAAACCTCACGTAGAAGTATAGAAGAATTCATGATATACCCTGCATGCATAAATATAAATGTATTGATACTTTAATACCTCACAGTACATCAGCAAAACATAATTCCTGTCATCTTCCTTTTGCTTACCCATCCACAATAACGTTTTAAGAGCCACCACACTTTTCTGACAGCTGTATTTGGAAAATGGAGTCTTCGCTTGCCTTAGTATTCTACATGCATAATAATTTAGAAAAGAGGGAGAAGGTGCTCAAAACTAGTGTTTTCGTTACTTATTTTCATTTTATTTCCCATAAATATGGGGGTACATGCTATAGACTGGGGGAAAGTTTGCTAAAGCCCGTTTGCCAGTGGTCTGTGTTTCTTCTAGTGCTTTGGTACAACGAGGAGTGATGATTAAATGATGGCACTTGTACAACAGTCTTGGAAGAAGTCTCATGTTGTCCAAAAGCTGTGCATAGGCTGAAAAGAAGCCTTAAAAGGACACGCTCAAATTCAATACAATTCGTATTTCTATTTCAAATTACTACCTATATAAGTAAGCACTGATATAAAGAAAACAGTAAGTAATACAGCTCATGGAAATCCTTTTTTCTTGAACTTGGTTCTTAATGTGCCTCAAGGCATATGCTTGAACTACTAGCAGTATCATTGCCTCTCCTTGAGAAGTTTGGATGGAGTTCTGTCCTGGGTATTTTCTGAGGCAAAGGTATGTCTGTGGAAAGACAGCCCAGAACACTAGGAACACTTCTGCTTATTTATATAAAACGGTCTTCCTTATTCCATAACATAGGAACTGCATTTCTGCAGTCATAAGTAAGGTTATACATAAACCATTTTTGAAGCAGTTTCTATTCAAAACACTTGAGTTAAAAACATGCAAATTCTGGAGATTTTTAAATCTCCATTTGGGGAGTTTTGGAGCATTTGGAGAGTTTTAAAAGATGCTAAGACTATTACATGAATGCAAAGTGCTCTAGTCAGCAAGAGATACCAGTTCGGTTCTGTACTGGAGAAATATCAGCCCCTTCACTATTTGGAGACTAAGTGGAAGAAACATATCTTTGTTGTTGCTCCTGAGACCTTTATGATAAATTTTGAGATTTACAAATACTTGTACTCTAAATTACTGCTTAATTATACCTTCAGAGAGAACCAAGAGCAGGAAGGGAAGTGAGACAAAGTGCCAGAATGCAGTACGAAGTCTGACGGGAGCAAATCTGCAGCAGTGTGCCTGCATAATATTTAATCTGCTCTTCAGGGAAATCGGTATTCACTAGCTTGGTTTCCTCCACAAATAATCAAGGTTCTTCAGTAAGTAAGGCGGTGTTCTCATTGTTTTATCACAGGTTAATGGATCTGTATTATTAGACATGAATAATAAAGCACCTCTGAACTGAGCAGAAACGAGGCTCAGCTGCCTGGTACCGAAGGTGACCAGCTATACGCTCCACCCTCACCAGTTGACCATGTCAGTGGAATGGCAACTTAAAGTGGATTCTGCTGACTTACATATCCCCATCCCCCCTGAATACTTGTTTTTCCTGGGAAGTATTATAATTACAGTGGAAAAACAAGAAATTACCATTTTGAGTGTCTTGGGTTTTGTATCTTATCATTTCCTTCAGATTTGTCCATACCTGGCAGAAAAAGGCAGTGCAACAAAACGTGTTTACATTAGTTACCATGAGCAAATCAGACAAAACTTGAATGTTTTCTGTGAACTTTACTTATGATTTTGATAGCTTTTCCTATTTTCCACCAGAAAGATCCTTATGCATCAAAATTACTGTGTATGGTTAGCGCCTCGGTTATTCATGCTGAGCTGAAACTGTAATAGCTGTGTAGGTAACTAAAGCAGAGGCTTTGAAATTGGAATCGTGCAGTGGAACTGTGCATAACACCAGACACACTGAAGCAGTGTTTAATAACACCACCTGAAAGCTTTTTTTACTTTAAGACTGGTGGGAACTTCCCTTGCTCAGCTGTGTCCTGGAAACACTCCATGTTCGTCTGAAATAGCCCAAGAGTAAATAATGACTGAAGGAGGACTGGTATTTTCTGTGGGCAGGATGTCCAAGGGTATCTGTGTTACAAAGATGTGACTCAGAGATTGCACGTTTTAGAAATATATTGTGGTTATATTTGCAATTGCTCTGAAAAGCCCCTCCATGAAAGCCAAATCGCTTTGCTGTTCTCTTTTATGCTGATTGAAGCTCTGACCTTGCTTGCTTCCACACGCTCAACACTGAAACATACTGTTATTAGAGGAGCTTTGGTGATTGATGAGGATACCTGGAAAGGCCTGATAGCAGGATCATACCCCATTCCATTGATGGAGGCTTGCAGTTTGCTGTTGTGTCTATGCTCCTTGCTGCTCTGGGTATACACAATACAGCACTTGTTAATGGCACACCAATGTAGCAAGTAACCAGCTCCTGTTTGTGTATTTCTCTGTAGCAAATAGGTTCCATGGTAGGAGCTTAAAATTTCTGTTAGCCACTGTATACACATATATTGATGTGTATTTTTCTTCATTAACATTAAAAATAACACCTTTTTTCACCTAGATCGGCAGACTGGTTATTGGGCAGAATGGTATCTTATCCACACCTGCTGTTTCATGTATTATTCGAAAGATAAAAGCAGCTGGTGGGATTATTTTAACAGCCAGCCACAGTCCTGGGGGACCTGGAGGAGAGTTTGGAGTCAAGTTTGAGGTTGCAAATGGAGGTAGGTGTTCTTTTTAACTAACACGTTTATGGCACTGCATCTCAGTATGATTAAAATTCAGGGATAGCCAACTGACATTAACTGTGCTTTTGGTTATTCTTTCACAGACTATTCTTTAACAACTTTGCAGAGAATAAGCGTATTGTTTCTTTTTCTTTTCTCAAGGGTAGGACTGTTTTTGTTTACATGGCATATGTTCAGTAAGTGTTAAACATTCATTAAAGCCCTTGCAATGTTGGTAAGAGTTCTGTGAGGTTTACTGTCTGATTTTTACTTTATTTTACTTACTCTGATGGATTATTATAACAGTTTTCATCTTTCTGTGAGGTTGCCTATGAGGGAGTTTTGTTTGTTTCATGTTTCTGTCTTGGTTGTCCTGGCACTTAATTTAAAGCATGTGATTTCTGAAGTGCTGTAAGCAGTGTAACTCATAAGTCAGAATATGTTTCATGTATGGAAAAAAGCATTCTTCTTGTTGACCAGGAAGAAAAATTGCAGTTATCCAAGGAGAATTGTACTACTTTAGCTGTCTCATTTGTGCTCCTGAATTACACAGTTTGTGTGTACAGTAATGATGTCTTGTTTTTTGAAATTTTTAAGTTGGTGCATGTAGTTATGTAGCACTTTATACATTTTATGTTACTGATCTGTGCAAACCCAATGATTTTTACAAATGCCGAAGCCTGGTACACTTCACAAACGTAGGATGCTTTCCTTTTGAAAATCCCAAAGTGCCTTTAAAATCATCCTATCAAGGCTGATGTAGTGTGAATGAAGCCTGTCTTTTCCCTGTGAGTGGGTTTGGAATAAAACAGTAAGAAGTCGTTTGCAAAGCCAAATAAAGTTAAGTGGCTACTGTGTGTTGTATTTATTACCTTGGACCATCAGATAGGCTGTGTCTGAGATGCTGGACTCTGATTCATGTGGTAAGGCTATACTGGGTACAGCAGCATTGTTGCAGGAGGAAGGCATCCAATGGTGAAAAGAAGGAGGCATTCAAGTAGGAGAGAGAGAAAACAAAAAGAACACAGGAATTCATTTTTCCAAGTTGGAAGTGTGGCTTTAGTATAAGCAAAGAAGAATTAGATAAGACAGAGTGGTCTTCTGGTCATTTTGCATCAAGCCTGCAACTCTTACTAGAACGACAGTAATTTTTTAAAAATATAGCCGATCTTCAGGATTTGCTGATAATAATGCACATTTAGATGTGATTTCTCTTTTGCATTGACCTAAGCTCTCACAACTGCTTGTTAAATGATTGAGTTACTTCGATTCTTATGAATATGTCATTAGGGCATTGGTGGCTTAATGGCTGTCAAACTGCTAAGGAGTTTTTAATGATAATCTGTGGCCAAGGAAATCAAGTGAGATGCCAAGCAATCTCAGCTTCATGGTTGTGCATTTGCAGAAAGACCCATGAGACACCAGAAGCTGCTCCTGAAAGGCAGTTTTTCCACTGGTATATATGTTGAGGTTCACTGTAGAAGAAAAAAATGGCAATGTTTTTGTGTTATAAACACAAAGAAAAATGATTGAATTCTTTTCTCTAGGCTAGTGATTGCCTTAAATACTTTCTATGAAACAAAATGGTGTGAGAATGCACTGTATTCCCAAGTTCTGTGTTGGTTTTTTTTTTTTTTTTCCTTTAAAAAGTGTGCTGCAATGTAAAAAATACACCAGTGCTCTTTTTGGAGCATATTCTTCAGTAGATAAATTCTTTTTTTTTTTTTTTTTAAAACAGCAAAATTTTTTTTGTATGGAATCTCCATTTAAAAATATGAGCTGACAAGTTCTCTTCTCTTATAGGACCTGCTCCAGATGTAGTTTCAGATAAGATTTATCAAATCAGCAAAACCTTGGAAGAATATGCCATTTGTCCTGATCTCAGAGTTGATTTATCTCGCTTAGGAAGACAAGAGTTTGATCTGGAGAACAAATTCAAACCTTTCCGAGGTATAAATGAAGGCTTTTATGCATGCTACTTACACGTGTTGATTCTAGTAGTAGATAGTAGAACTGCCACAGAATGATAAACAGTAGTTATTTAATCACATCATTATTTTTTCAGAATTCCTTACTGCTACTAGATCTCAAAATGCTCGGTGGTAAGGGTGAGTGTTGTGTTCATTTTGCATACAGGAAAACACAAAAAATATCAGGTAGCATAAAAATAGACTAAAAACAATCCCTTTTTTTGTTGTTGTTGTTCTCTGATTTGAGGAAGAATTATTTCCCAGTCATCTCTGGAAAGATGCTGTATTCTGGGACAATATAGCTGCCAGGGGACTCTAGGGAAGTATTGCAATTGATCAAAAGGTGCAACTGAAAATAAGTTAATTGGATTTGGGAGGAGCTAGGATAATTTTTAGACTTCAATTTTATGTGCACGTTATCTTAACATATATGAACAGTTCTGTGGATGTTGTGGCATTTGTTCGTATGTGTGAAAATTGGAGCCTTAAACTTTAACAATAATGTAAACTTTATTGTGATCAGGGCTGACAAGTTATGCTGAAATATCATTTTAGCAAATCTTTGAGAATTTTGCCATGTGCCAGATAATCGACTCATCTTCCAGTGGGTTTTACTTTTCAACCATGGGAACTATTTTTTGTCGTTGTTTCTAGTTCAAGTATATTTTAGTCTAAGCTTTTTTCTTAGGTACTATGTTTACATTTTACCCTGAAGAAGAGCATGGGGGTGAGGTCAGCATTTCTGAGGACAATAGTTTAACTTGTAAAAACTAAAATATTTCAGGATATTCGTTAAACCAGATAAAAAGGTGTTTGTGTAACATTCTTCTGAATTTAATCAGAAAAATAGCTTCAAGCTGACTGAAAAGCATGGCTTTACCATGGTAGCTGGTTTGATTCCAACAAATTTACTTTCAGTAATTAATTTTAGTTTGACCTGTTTGGTATCTTGAAGAAGCTGTAGCTTTCTCCCTTTGTGGCATCACAATTCATATTAATAGGACTGTAACAAAAAAAATCAAACAGATGTATTTGAGCCAAACTTTCTGAAGTCAGTAATGTATAAAATGCAAAAATATGGTGTTAGAATGACAATAAACTAGAGGCAGATTGTAAGTGCCAAAAATGAAAAGGATAGGCTGTGTGTCTATCCTGATAAAGTGATGCAAATAGATACTGCTTTCAGATAATAGAAATTGTGAATTTTTATCAACATGGACGTCTTCCATTCTCTGCAGTGCTGTAGCAAGCAAAAATGCATGCAAGGCTTAAGGTTGATGAAAGAGCTTTTTACTTTGCCTCTTTGGCATCAGCACCAATCCATGTTACACAGAGATTGTGTGGTCTTATTTTAATTCAGGTACATGGTTGTGAAAGTGTGCTGGGAGACGTATGTCCCCATATGTAAGCTGTATTTCTGTTTTGTTATGTTGTTGATTGTTTTTTGCATTATTTTTTTTTTCTAGTGGAAATTGTTGATTCTGTGGATATCTACCTCAATCTCCTTCGAAATATCTTTGACTTCAACGCAATCAGAAATTTACTGACTGGACCCAACCAGATCAAAATAAGGATTGATGCCATGAATGGAGGTATGAACTTAAGATATTATCAGGACCAAAATACGAGTTTGCTATAATAGTTTTACGATAAAGATAAATACATATACAGTGTATAAATGTCAGGATTTTTAGAAATGCTGAAAGGCTTGCACATCAGACTATTAATAAAGGCCTAACCCACTACTAGTCCTTTCTTGATAAGGAATTGAGGACATCTATATGCAATAAAAATTTTCTTTCTGCGTTTGAAAGCAAGCAGGATGAGCTGATCTTTCCATGATGATATGTTGCAGTGTGTCATAACCAAGGAGGTTAGAGGACAGTCTCTGCTAAGGAAAAATGGCTTCCATTTGTATCCTGGGCTGCATCGAAAGTGGGATGGCCAGCAGAGCAGGAGGGTGATTGTCCCCCTCTGCTCTCTCCTTGTGAGGCCTCACCTGGTTTGCTTCTTCCGGTCCAGGGGCCTCCAGAGGAGAGCCATAAAGATACTCAGAGATCTGGAGCACTTATCTTATAAAGAAAGGCTCATTTTATTTGGCCTGGAGAAGAAGAGGCTCCAGGGAGATCTTGCCACAGCCTTCCAGTACTCAAAGGGAACTTAGATGCAGGAGGGAGACTGTCTTTTTGCACAGGCAGATAGTAATGAGTCAAGGGGGAATGGTTTTAAACAGAAGGAGAGGGTATTTAGGTTAGATGTTAGGAAGACATGCGTTACATGGAGAGTGGTGAGGCACTGGCACAGGCTACCCAAAGAAGCTGTGGATGCCCCATCTCTGCAGGTGCTCAAGGGCAGGTTGGATGGGTCCCTGGCAGCCTTATCTGGTGGGTGGTAGTCCTGCCTACGGCAAGGGGATAAAAACTTGATGATCTTTAAGGTCCCTTTCAACCCAAACCATTCTGTGATTCAATGAAAATTAGTTAAATCTGAATAAATTGCTACCAGGAATCCTCGGTGAGTTGGCTGAGCAATGTGGAATGGAATGCCTTTCATCACATACACTTCTGGAGGAAATGTTATTGAAATAATGTATAGATCTCTGATGTCCTCACCTATTACAAGATACTAAATAATCTCGGGGTAGGTCTCTTCTCAGTGGTGACAGGTGACAACACGAGAGGAAATAGCCCCAAGTTGCATCAAGTTTAGGTTGGATGTTAGGAAACAGTTCTTCACAGAAAGGGTGGTTAAACACTGGAATAGGCTCCCCAGGGAGGTGGTTGAATCACCATCCCTGGATGTGTTTAAGAGCCATTTGTATGTGGTGCTCGGAGATATGATTTAGAAGAGGATTGTTAGAGTTAGGGTACTATGGTTAGGCTGCAGTTGGACTTGATGATCCTTGAGGTCCCTTCCAACATGAGTAATTCTATGATTCTGTGATTATAAAAAATGCTACTCAGCCACCCCAGTGCACAAGCATAGATTTCAGATACAACTAACATTACAGTTTTCTCCACATGATCAAAATATTTGATTGTGAAATTGGAAAATCTTTTGTACAGTTTGATAATGACATCATTTCCAGATGCGTGTATGTTTAGGATCCTCTTATTTCTGAAATGATAGAAAATACTCCTTACAATTATTGAAAATGGAGATGAATTGGTTAAAGGATGGAAATGCATGTGCATTTGTTCAGCAGATAAGGTTAGGATTGGTAAATCTTACCAGGAAATTAAGAGAAGTCCTGGAATGGTGAACTGGGTTGTAGGTGAAATAAAAAGCTTCAAAAGGTGAAATAAAAAGATTCAAAATGAATCTGTGTGATATTTTTGGATACCCCATAATACTGCATATACTAGTTATGATATGGTAACATGAACCACGGTCTTATTTGGCCATATGATTAAAGAAAAAAAAAGTTATTTTGTAATCAGTTGTAGGAAAGTTTTTATTTATTATGTACGTGACAATAGGAAAAATGCAGCAAAATTTTCAGTAGGGAAACCTGTTTCATTTCAGTGTGAGAAATCTGAAAGAAGTGTATTCCCTGTTTCCATTCTATTACTGCTTACTTTCTTTGCTAGTGCATTTGCTAAACTGTTGCTTGCAGTCTAGGACATGTAAAATATTATAATAGTAATATAATAATATTATTTTTATTCTAGTAAGGAATACCCTGTGTTTGTACATTGATTACTTTCCCCTAATAGTTGCTAAATAAAACTTCTATCTTTCAATATTCAGTGGTTACTTCAGTGAAGAAGTGTGTTTTTAATGCCAACTTAGAAACTGATCTGTGTGGAGTGACCATATTCTCTTCTGAGGAATGATGATTTCCCTTTTGTTAATAGCACAGATGTATAGAATTGCTGGAAGTATGCTTTGTATCGAGTCTCTGAAGTACTGTGAAAAATTTGAATGTCAAGCATATGTTTTTGTGATTGCATGGCAGATTTATATTTTTGCAGTTATGGGACCTTACGTGAGAAGAATCCTCTGTGATGAATTAGGAGCTCCTGCAAACTCTGCTATAAACTGTATTCCTCTGGAGGATTTTGGTGGACAGCGTCCTGATCCCAATTTAACATATGCAACTGCCTTGCTGGAGGCTATGAGAGGTGGAGAGTATGGGTTTGGAGCTGCTTTTGATGCTGATGGAGTAAGTATTGTGATCGGTGTGGAAGTTTCACCTTAGTTATTGTTTTGTCTGCTGTCAGGTATTGACATGTAAGTATAATTTATTTGCTTTTCAGACAGTTCTTGAAGATGAATAACATTACTTTCAAGCATAGATGATAGAATTTGTACCTGTAAATCAGTCACGTGCAATAATTTGTTCGTACGGATGTTTGCAAGTTGAGCAGGATTTGAATCCAGAATGACTCTCCTCTCCTCTCCTCTCCTCTCCTCTCCTCTCCTCTCCTCTCCTCTCCTCTCCTCTCCTCTCCTCTCCTCTCCTC